GACCGTGATGATGATGATGATGATGTTGATGTTTATGAAGATGTTGATGTTGAATTATGATTTCAGTTTCCATGTCTCTGACCACTATGACACCGAAGGTCACCAAGACCAAACATGTAGGCCGGCCAATAAACCGCATGAGCAAAACAGCTCCTGACTAACACAACACCCAAACCCGAAACGCCAAAAGCCGTTCCAAAGCTTCTGATCCTTGAACTCCACTACTGTTGATGGACAAAATCCTGCATGACACTATGGGAACTATGGTGTATTCCTTATAAAGGGTAATGCAGGATTTTGTCCATCAGCAGTATTGAGGGTCCAGGGCTTAGGGTTCAGCTGCCTCCAAACCACCAAAAAGTCTTTCCAAGGGTAAAAGGAGAGACCCTTAATGAGGACCCCGAGGCATATACCCTTAATATAGCTATTATATACCCATTATATAGCCCCATTATAGGGTCCCAGGCTCCCCCTTAAGGGACCCTCCTTTTCCCCTTTGAGTCGTGGTCTGCTTGTACCGAGCCACCCATGGCTGAGCTGGTATCGGCATACCTCAGGGCTGGCGTGAGTGAGGGAGGCCAAAAGGGGGGGTTTAAGATTCTTGGGGTAGGGATTCCTTAATATGAACCCTACTATGGGAACCCTAATCCCTACTAAACCCCCATAGGCTAAAACCCCTTTTGGCCTCCTATGAGTGAAACTTCGGTAGAGTCACCAACGTCTGGCACGTTCAGAGTGTGAGTCACGGCATGGACCCCTAAAACCATAACTCCAACCTAGACCCTGAACCATCAAACCCTACCAAGTCCTTCTTAGGGCTATTCAGGCCCCTTCCTTGCCCCCCTCCCCTTACCCCTAAGGTTCCCTCTGAACTAAAGCACTGAGCCCAGGCTCTCCGCCGAAGAATACGCTCCGCCGGCATGATGCAACTTCCAGTTGTGGCCGATCTCGTGGAGGAACCTTGCCGTCTAATATAGGAGCCTTAATAAATAGAACAAGGTTTTGGGGCCCGTTATACTATACTTTTAATAAGGACCTCCCCCCCGTCAAAAAAAAATAGTATAGGTAATTCTTACCCCTATATTAGGAGCGCTGCAGGGATCTGTAGGGAATCCTTTCCGGCTCCGTAAAGGACTCCTCCTGAGGATTTTCGGGCGGGTTTAGGGCTTTGGGGGGTTTAAGATTTGAGGTGCTGAGCTTACCTTAACCTACCAAAACCTACTTTTTCTAGGGCCTTGATGCCCGCCGTGCACGGTACTTGCTCTCAGAGTCACGCTCCTCGGAATTGGAGCGTAAATTGGGTGGTAAATTTCATCTAAAGCTAAATACAGGCTCGAGACCGATAGCAAACAAGTACCATGAGGGAAAGATGAAAAGGACTTTGAAAAGAGAGTTAAAAGTGCTTGAAATCGCTGAACTGGAAGCGAATGGAACTAGTGCTCTGGTTGAGATTGCTGCAAGTGGCTGCGACATCTGGGCTCTGGAACGCAAGTCCTTTGTCTGGTTTGAAGTAGTTGCTTGTAATGTGTCTGTAGGTTTTCAGACCTTAGGGTTTACCCTAAGGGTCCAGGTATTTCCTTAGGAGGGTCCGGAATCTCCTAGGGAGAATCATTGGGTCTCAGAATCCCTTAATTTTGAGGTTCCCCGATTTGTTAGGACTCTTAGGGTAGGGGTTAGGGGTAGCGGGGTCAGGAATGTCGGGTTTCAATTTTGCAGGCATTGGGGCTCTAGGGCTTTACGTTTTTGAGTGACGAGCACCTAAGATCTAAAGTTCGAACATTTGAAGCTCAACCCTAAAACTTATAAACCCAAAACCTTAAGCCCGGAATCCAAAACCAACAAAGTAGCATGACGGGGTCGGCGATGTACTCCTCACGGTACCAGGAGATGGATCCGCCGACGGTGCCGACGCCAATGGCAGAAAGCCATGCTTTTGGGAGGACCCTTGGGAAAGGGATCAGGTTGATGAGTAGAAGAGCGAACATTGCTGTTCCAGGTGCAGGGTTGAGTTAGTGATATGGGTATTGTCAAAATTATGGTCCCCCTTTGGGTACCCTAAATATTAGGCGTCGTATTATAATAAGGACCCAAAAAGGGATCATTTTTTTGACAACCACCCGTATGCACAGAATCGAACTGGATTTTACAAGCTCGGGGAGAGCTGGTCCTGTTTGACAAGCCGTCGAAGCCCCCTAAACCCTAAACCCTAAGTCTTAGTCTCGCCATGAACGTCACAACTTCCCCAGACACCACCTTCTACGCACCGTCGTCATCGTCATCGTAGACTTCACCACCATGATGATGATCATCATCATTTACTATCCTCATCATCATTCTCATCTTCATCAAAGCCCGTTCTTCGGTCTCTTCATCACCAGCATCACCGTCATTGCTATCATCATGATAACGTTCGATAACCACATGCATCCATATGCTCATCTTTGGCACGGAAGCACCACACACATCATGCTCATGGTTGTCCCGATCACCATCAGCACCACCACCACCATCATCATCGTCGTCGTCATCATCAGCAGAAGCAGTAACATCCACATCGTCATACCAACCAGTATCATCCCGGTCGTCGTATCGTCGCCGTGCTCGTCATCTGGGCCCTTGCCACAGTCATGGCCATGATCATGACCATACTTTGGGTACTGCCCCCATACAGTAACAGTCTACTATAGGGCTACGATGAAGGGCCTTATGTATCTATATTATGAGTATTATCCAACTGTTACTGAGTGGGGGCAGTATCCCAAACCATACTTATGGTCATCGTCATCGTGATCACCATCTCGCTCTTCTTGCCCAGCAGCGTCAAGGCCAACATCATCACAGCCACCACTCTGGTCGCCGACATCTTCAGCAAACCCGGAGGAGCAAGATCATTCACAGAGTTTCCGTATTCATGATCTCGAAGAGCAAACTTCCGAAGGCAATCCGAGAGCAGAGTTTGGGGCTTAGAGTTCAGGGCAAGCTAAGCACCGAACCCTGCAGAAACGGTTCCACCCAAGCCAAGCATCATCAGCTTAAACTCGTTGTTATCCCACTCCGGCGTGCCTCCGAGCAGTAAAACCAGGGGTTTCAGGGTTTAGGGCTTATGATAACGGTTTAGGGTGTAGGGTTTAGGTTTTATGGCTTTAGAGTTTACGGCCCAGTTCATCCGGGGATTCAGGCTTGCTGCAAGTGGTGTCCTCTAATCGCGGTGCTCACCAGAGGACGATCCCTCGCGCTTTCATGTGGCTTGAAAACGACTCGCGCCGACAACTTCTAGATCATCTCAGCCGCAGCAGGACAAGGCTTGCCAAGAGTCGGACAAAAATAACCTACACCCGAAGCCAAATGCTACACCCCAAACCGCTCGGACATGGTGCCTTGGATGAATTTGATACACCAACAGAACGCCTCTTGAGGGGCTTGCGTACTCATCCTCCGAAACCCTCATGCAGACAGAGCGGTAGACGCGTAAGCAACCATCACCTACTTTCCTGCAGGTCTCGGGCTTTGGGCCTTGGAAAGCGCCCCGACACCCCTCAAGTCCCAAACCCCCAAACGCACAAACCCGGAAACGCCTGAAGCTTTAAGCTCCAAATTCCTCGAAGCAAGGTCACTCCTAAACCCCTTTTGAAGATTCGGGTTTAGGAAGGGGCCCCTTCAGGAAAAGGGTCTAATTAGTGTTTTGGTTTTAATACCTTTTTGATTGAGGATTTAAGGCCTCTTTAAAGGGCCCCTTTAGGTCGAGGGTTGCAGGGTCTTTTCAGGTTTCTGCCCGGTTCGCGCCTTGCATCTGATCTCTCACAGCAGTGTAGGTGGCCCAAACATCGGAGGAGTCAGGACATCCCTGGACTGGTCCAACCTTGTCCGCGTTGCGTTGTGTGTGTGTGTGTGTGTGTGTGGTTTTGCCTGGTGTGTGTGTGTGTGTGTGTGGATTTGCCCCGGGTGGGTGGGTGGGTAGGTGGGTGGGCGGGTGGGTGGGTGGGTTGGGCTTGCTTTCAATCGGGTTGTTGTGGGTGCAAGTTTAGGGCAGCTTGATTCTACATATACAGCAAAAATATACATGTACACACATCTGTGTGTATGTGTATGTGTATGTGTATGTGTATGTGTATGTGTATGTGTATGTGTATATATAATATATATATATATATATATATATATATATATATGTGTGTGTATATATATATATATATATATATATATATATGGATATATATATATATATATATATGAACACATACATACATACATACGTACATACATGCATGCATGCATACATATGTAAGCTGTATCTGGGCTTTTTACGCGTAGCTTCGGCTCTGTTTGCGCAGGGCCTTGGGGCTCTTTTCCGGCCTGGCCTCACCAGACCCTCCACAAGTCAAGGAACTCTGGGCTCAGGTCACTAGAAATACTAATGTAGGGGTCAGACTATCAAAACCCTTCAGCCCATACCCCAAGCCTTAAACCCACACCCGTAACCCGAAGCCCCTGCGGCCCAAGGACAATATCGCCGGTGAAGCTGACGGTCGAGCGGGAGCAGACATCCAGCACCTCCGGGCCAACATGCGTCTGAGACTGAAGCTTATACAACGGTTCTTTCTACCATACAGGTTTAAGAAATGTTTCGGGTTTAGGATTCCTAGGATTTCAGTGTTTAGGTATTTGAGAAATCGAGGGTCTAATCTACAGTCGTGATTTAGCTCCTTGTCTGGTTGCAAGTGATTGAATCACTTGTGTGCTTCTCGACGCAGGATGGTCTGCGAAGCTTTGGATCACAGGCAGGGGTTGCCAGTGTAGAAAAAGGAGCCTCTTTCGCACCGCTCATTCCGTGCCTTCCGTGCTCTCCTTCTACTGCCTCCGAGCCCGATCCTCGTTGAGTCTAACAGCTGCCGTGCACCCCATTGAGGCGTGCATGGCAGCGGAGCCTCCATAGAGGCTTCCGAGCTTGTGAAGATCCAGGGACCTACGACAGCTGAACGTTTGGGCCTTCAGCTGAGATCATGACCTCCGGTGGGGAAGGCAGCAAGGCTCACGAGGGGCCACCGAGTTGGGATGGAGACGCTGGCAGCTTCCAAGAGTATGAGGAGAGCAGCCTACTCTGGGAGCAGTCGGTAGCATACGAGAAGAGATATCTTTGCGGGCCAAAACTGGCCGCGGCACTCAAAGGTGCTGCAAAGAAGCATGTGGCTGGAAAACCAGGCTTTCGAACAACCAAGGTGTGCACACCTTGATGCAGCACCTGAGGGCCGCACTCGGCCGGCCCCAGATCTCCGACCTGACCGACTACCTGAGCAAGTACTTCAAGGGATCAAGAAGACGCAACAATGAAGATATCAACAGCTACATCGCCCGAAAGAGCGAGATCTACTTGAGGGCTTGCCAGGCGTTGCAGCGCGTTAGTCCACTCCAACCCGGCGAGACCAACAAGGCTAAAGGCAGGACTTCTACATCCTGGGCACCATCGTGGAACTCAAGCAGGCGCAGTAGCTACGACTACACGCCTGCCGAGGAGGCGACCGAGGACCAGGACGAGGCACCAGCAACAGAGGCGACGACCGCCTCCACCGAGGACCGATCATGGAGCTATTGGCAGCGCGGCCAGTGGAACTACGGACACCAGGAGTGGGGCTACTCTTGGTGGGGTAGTCCGTGGTACAACCACTGGACTTGGAACAAGGAGCCCGTGGAGGAGGCCCCAGCGATGCCCGAGCTCCTCCCGAACTACGTCCAGGGGTGGTACCTACTCCATGATTCGGGTTTGACAGCCCAGGAGAAGAACAGTGTTCAAACGGCTCTCCAAGGCGATTTTCGCTATGACCGGGTGGCCCAAGAACTTCGGAACCAATGTGCGGTTCTCGACGGCCAGCGCCGAGAATACCATCCGAAGAACTCGGGCTACATGGGCGAGCTCTACGACGAGGAGCCGGACGAGGACGAGACGCAGACCATGGAGACCGACCCGATCCTGGAGGCCGAGCACCAGGAAGAATGGCATGAAGCGGAAGAAGATGCTCAATCCGCCCTGGCCGCGATCAACCAGGGCAGGCGGACGCTGAAGGAAGCGAGACAAAGACAGAACAATGTACGACTGGCGAGGCAGTACTTTCGCACCAATTCTGGAGCAGGGCAACGAGATGGAGGAAAAGGACGAGATGAGAAAATGACGTGCCTGCGATGCGGCCGAACCGGCCACCGCGTCGCTAACTGCCCTGATCCACCAACGGCTGCAGCAAAAAGTGCCGAACCAGTGGCTGCTACCTCTTCCTTTGTCTGCTTCTGTGATCAGCCCCAAGCCCTCACCGTGGAGCAGAGTGCCGAGGACAACTCCAACTACATGCAAGCAATGATGAGCGGCATCTCCACGGCCGACGCGGTCTCACAAGGAAAGGCCGTGATCGACGGCGGAGCCACGAAAACTCTGGCTTCAATCAACGCAATGGAGCGGATCATGCAGCTGAACAACCTCAAGAGTGGTCATTCAGGACTGATCTCAGTGGACACCACTGAGAGGCCAGTTTTTGGGTTTGGTAATGGGTCCGAGGATAGGTGCAGTTCAACTGTACAGCTTCGGATCTGTGCAGACAAGAAGCCTGGAGAAGTCAAGGTCCACTGCCTCGACCGAGGCACGGGGCCAATGTTGCTGTCAATAGACACGTTGCGCAAGTTGAAAGCTGTTATAGTTATAGATTTTGAGTCGGATTTGGTGTGCTTCAGGGCTTTGGACAACACGAAACTTGTGCAAGCGGAGCGCTCTCAGACGGGGCACCAACTGATACCCATGACAGAGGACTGGCTCGCTGAAGGCGTGGCCACGACCTGCGAAGTGCCCAGCTTGAAGAGCTATCTGAACGTGTAGGGACAGCTCCTTCCTGCTCGTGATTCCGTGCGAGCAGTGAAGGTCACCGATTCAGCGGAAACCGGGGTGAAAACCACTCTGCAAACCTCTAGAGTTGATAGCGAGATGGGTTTCAGGAGTGATTGTATAGGAATTCATGGTAGTGATGCTAGTGTACAATCTGCACTTGAGTCTGAAGCACCAGGGCAAGACACGGAGCCCTAGACCAGACGACCGCGATCAGTGACTTTCGCAGCTGATTGTGAGTCCCAGCAAGAAGGCGGTAGCTATCCTCGCCCTCAACTCGCCAAGGGCAGCATGCCGAAGGCCACCAAGGAGGACCTACGCATGGAGCTGATGAACCACGGCGAGGTGCCGCCACAAAGCTGGACAATGGTGGAGTTGAACCAACGACTCCGAGAACTCCGAGAGCAAGGACTGTTGGAGAACGAGGAGGCGAGCCCCAACTCCACCATGGAAAAGATGCTCAAGGACTTACGCCGAGCCAGCAAGCTCAAGGCGAACCTGACCAAGTACTGCACCGAGGTGCTCAAGCTCGAGCTGACGGGGAACGAGGTGATGGCGAAGATGATCGACAAGGCGACCAAGGAGATCCGCCGGGTGTGCCCAGCCGAGGCCAACGACCTGGCCGGCTTCGGCAAACATGCCAACGAGCGCTACGTTGCCATTGCCACGCAGTATCAGGACTATGCGACTTGGGTGAAAACTACGTTCCAGGAGAGCGGCGAGGACCATGTGGATCCCAGATTGGCACGGCTTGCCAAGTGGCTGCTGCAGATGGACCGGAAGCCCACTCCAAAGGCCCCGCCAGTCACGCGCAAGGAGCAGGGCTACATGAAGATGCAGATCCCGAGCACCTCAAGCCATGTGTCAGGTCGCGCAGGGTCGAGCCGAGCCAGCACCGACCCCACCAGTGCGCAGGCGGTGAAGATGATGCAGGAAATGGCCGAAGCGATGGAGTCGATGCGCCAGGAGCTTGCCGAGGTGAAGGGCCAACGACCACGCAAGACCGCGGGGAACACCGAAGAGGGCCAGCTCACCGACGGGTCGTTCAGTGTACTGAGCGAAGCGATGAACGAGTTGTAGAGGGCTCGGATAGTGAGTTGTGGGAGGAGCACAGTTGTATGAGTGCTTCTCAGCGGCTGAGTGCTCAGCTGAAAAGTCAGAGCACGAGGCAGCTCTCCCCAGGCCAAGCGCGAGCCTTGGAGAGGCAAGCCTGGTCTGTAGTTCCCGACCTTTTTCAGTCCCTTGTAGGCTTCCAGAGACCGTGCCTCATGGAGTGTGCGTGTGAGGCCGACAACCTACTTGCCAGCACTGTTCAGTCTGTGGCAAAAAGAGAGGACGCAGTGACTCAGTGCTACTTGAACAATGGATGTGATCTGTCTACCGATGAGGGTGTGCGACTTGTGTTGAGCCGCATTGAAGTTGAGCAGCCGCAACACATCTGGTTGCGACCTCCCAGTGGACCCTTCTCTCCCATGCAGGGACCGAATCAGGCCAACAAGGAACAGGCGGAAAATTTGAAGGAGAAGCGTAGGCATGCCATGAGGGTCTTTGTAGGTTGCGCATGCGTGATACACTGTGCTGTGCAGAAGGGCATCCATGTGACCTTTGAACTGGCAGACCGCTCAGATGCTTGGAGGCTTCCCTTGCTGAATAATCTTCAGCAGAAGTATGGGTTGTATAAGGCGGTGGCTAGCGGTTGCGCGTTCAATCTGAGGGATTCGACTACGAAGAGATTGGTTCAGCGGGGATGGCGAATACTGACTACTCATAAACGGCTCGCTGAGGACCTGGAGGCCCCATGTAGGTGTCCCCGATCCTACCTTCATGGAAAGTGCACGGGATCTTTTCGGAATGGTGCTCATGGGTACACGTCTGAACTGACCCATAGGATAGCCAGGGTTCTGACTCAAGAAATGGGCCATGTGGAAACTCTTCAGGAGTGTAAGGGTTCAAGCTACTTGTGCCAAGCCTTCGGAGGGGGTGAGTTTTGTACGTGTGGAGAAGTGAGCATGCCCGGGAATCCTCGAACGTGTGCAAATTGTCTTGTGGGCCGTCGGGATCTTCAGGGTGTGAACGAACAAAGGGTTTCGGAAAAGGTTTCAGGGCAGGCGCAGGTGGCTATCGACCGAGGTGCGAGGGAACAGGAGGGTTCTTCAGAAGGGTGCATGTTGGAAAAGGAGGCTGAGGTTATGGTGTCTCAAGAGAGGGTGAACCACGTTGAGGCCCAGGCTCGAGAGCTTTTAAAGACCCAGAACTACAGCCATAAGAAGTGCGAAGAACTTCTGAACCAACTGCCCTTCCAGGAACACCCTCGACCCAGGCAAGCCCACAGTCAAGCCAAGCCGAGGTACCTTGTTCTAGGTGTTTATGCCTACGGTAACCACTACGGAGTGACCAAAGTTACCCGACAACTGCCCCAGACGTGTCAGTACATCCTTCAGTATTTGCAGCACTGGTCCCAGGACAACATTCAGTGTAGCAGCATCATCGTGAACGACAATTGTCAAATGCAAGTGCATAGGGATGTCAACAACCTCCCACATACCCTGAACCATCTGATTGGAGTGACTCCATACCAACATGGAGAAATGTGGCTGGAAGGCCCCAGCACAAATCCCAACCATCCTTCCTTAAACCTCCAGCTACCCACAGGCGAGTACAAGTCAGGACACCTACGACGGACCCGACACCAGGTTGTGCCCTTTGATGCTCGGAAGTGGCATGCCACGCAACCGTGGCACGGCCACAGAGTGACCGTCGGAGGCTACACCAGCAGAGGGGTTCTTCACTTGAGTGTTGAGGACGTTCAGTGGTTGAAGGCTTGTGGGTTCCAGTGGCAAGAGGGAAGACAAGGTGCTGAGGCTAGGGCTGTGTTTCGGGGGGAGGCTAAGAAGGGAAGTAACGTTGAAGAGGAAATCAAACGTAAGTTGTATCTCCTTCATGCGGCGACGGGACATGGGAGCACGAGGAACTTAGTTGAGGCCCTCAAACGTCGTCACGTGGACCCCTTAGTTCTTAGGTTAGCCGAAGAATTTCAGTGCCCCATCTGTCACGAACGAAAGAAAGCACAGCCGAGACAGCTGGCGTCCTTGGAACCATTGCCTCCCAAATTTCACACTATCACGGCCGATATTGGCCATTGGAACTGTCCCCATAGTGGGGAAACCCAGAATTTCATGATGGTGGTTGATGAAGGGTCACGATTTCGAGTGGCAAAAATCCTTACCAAGGGCAACAAGCAAACTCCCAACGCCGCCACATGCCTCAACTTTCTGTCTGAGGGCTGGATCCAAATTTTCGGGAAACCACGAGCTTTGAGGCTCGATCCGGCAGGCAGTTTCCGTTCGGCAAGTGTAGAGAACTTCTGTGATCGCAATGAGATATATCTGGATATCATACCGGGGGAAGCACATTGGCAGATTGGAACTGTGGAGAACGCGATTCAAGGGTTGAAAACAGTTATGACAAAACTCAGTGCGGAAGACCCAAGCTTGTCTGCTGAACAAGTCATGAGCTTGCCTTTTAACACGTTCAATCAGCGCGAGCTGGTGAGAGGATTCTCACCGGTCCATCATGTTCTGGGTAGCGCCCCAGACGAGACGGGACGGCACCTACACTCAGAAAGACCGCAGCCTCCAGATGTGATTCTGAATCAACTTCTACAAGATTTTCGGAAGGAGGCCGAGCTACGAGCTTCAGCGGAAAAGGCGCTAGTGGAGTGGCAAGCACAACAGAGAGTGAGTCGTGCAGTGAATTCTAGAACGAGACCGAGCCACCTGTACCATCCGGGGGATCTCGTCTACTTTTGGCGCACCCAGGAGTCTGGGCGCGGAAAGCGCAGTCCCAACACAACGCAAGGCCGGTTTTTGGGACCGGCGCGCATATTGGCCATGGAAACCAGACGGTCTACTGACGATGAGCCGCGCCCGGCTCACTCTGTGTGGGTAGTACGGGGGCGACATCTCATGAAATGTAGCCCCGAGCAGCTGAGACCTGCCAGCCAAAGGGAGGAATTGGTAGAGTCCTTGGCCACCAGGGACCAGACACCCTGGACTTACATGAGACTTGCTGAGGAGATAGGTGGTAGCCAGTATGAAGATATCAGTACAGAGGTGCCATCCGAGCAGGAGTGGCAGCGAGCTCAAGATGTCCAAGAAGAGGTGTCACCGCCCAGGACCAGGATCCGCGGCAAGCGGGCCGCGCCACTCCCTGACGAAGACCTGGACCTCGAGGATCCCGAGGCAAGAGAACCCAGTCAACCGAGCAATATTCGACGAGTCGGACAACCACCAGGCCCTCGCCACGATGGACTCTCTGGAGAGAAGTGGCAGGCTTCCGTGGCCGAGAGTGCTTGGGCAGCAGAGGAAACTTGCTATTGGGCCCAAGAAGAGGCGGCAGTGGCTATCGAGATTGAGGTTCCCCAGAGCAATCGTGGATGGGAGAAGTTTCTGAATAATCCTCAAGCCTACTTCGTGGGGGCACTACGAAGACGAGCGGTTGAGGTAAGCGAAAAGCGATTGACCGCTGAGGACCGCGTGAAGTTCCAGGAGGCGAAAGCCAAAGAGGTGCGCAACTTTATTGCAGCACAGGCCTTCGAAGCACTCCCAGATCACTTGAAGCCATCAAAGGATCAGGCGATTGGTATGAGGTGGTTGCTTACTTGGAAGACACAGGATGATGGGAGTGTACGTCCGGAGGCCAGGGCCATACTGCTTGGCTACCAGGACCCGAACTACGAATTTAGATCCACTACTTCACCAGTCATGTCGAGGCAGACCCGACAGCTGTTCCTACAGGCAGCCGCCAACCGTCATTGGCGAATCCAAAACGGAGACATCACTGGAGCATTTCTTCAAGGAAGGGAGTATCCTAGTGAGCTGTTCTGTATTCCATGTGATGAAATCCTGGAAAGCATGAACCTACCGGCAGGCACGGTTACGCGCTTAAAAAGGGCATGCTACGGTCTTGTGGACGCTCCTTTGGAATGGTATCGGACGATAGCTGAGTTTCTGGAGTCCATTGGCCTTACGAGGTTGTGGAGTGATGCCTGTGCCTGGGTGTGGAGACCGCAGGGTCAATTAAGATGTTGGTGACGGGTCATGTGGATGATTTCCTGTTTGGGGGCTCTGAAGAAGATCAAGGCTGGCAGGAGATTATTCGTTTGATTAAAGAGAAGTTTAGGTGGGGAGATTGGGACCAGGACAAATTCGTTCAATGTGGTGTGCAAATAGAAACTACCAGTGACGGCTTTACCCTCTCCCAACCTCATTACCTCTCCAATCTCGAGGAGATACACATCAATGCCACACGCCGTAAGGACCGAAAGGCCGAGACGACAGAGTGGGAGAAAACCCAGCTCAGGGCTTTGCTTGGAGGACTCAGCTGGTTTGCCCAGCAAACAGGACCGCATCTTGCAGCCGAGGTAAGCATGATGTTGTCTGCTGTGTGTGAGTCACGAGTTGAGACGATCATTGAGGCGAATCTTCTTCTCCAGCATGCTAAAGAACGAAAGAATCACTTCTTGCAGATTTTCAGGCATAAGGATGAGGACATGCAGTTTTATGCCTGGGTTGATGCCGCAAACAAGAACAGGGCCCGTGAAGGAAGCACCCAGGGTGTCTTCATCGGGGCCTCATCGAAGCAGCTTCTGCAGGGAGCAGTTTGTGCAGTGTGCCCCATGTCATGGAGCTCGACAAAGATTGATCGTAGTTGCCGCAGCCCGGGCTCAGCAGAAACCCAAGCAGCAGTAAATGGCGAAGATTCGCTATTTTACATGCGGTACCAATGGGCCGAGATGCAGTTTGGCAAGGTCAACCTGCAAGCACCCTCCGAGACCGTGAAGCAGGTGGACGGCTGTTTAATCACGGACTCCCGGAACGTCTACGACAAGTTGAGTACCGAGGTGTTAACGGTGCAGGGCGCAGAGAAGAAGGCAAATCTGGAACTGCTCAGCGCCAAGGAGTCCCAGATGTCCACTAATCTGAAAGTGAGATGGGTGCATTCTGAAGCTCAGTTAGCCAACGCTCTCACCAAAAAGGGCGGGAAGGAACTCGAGCTCTACTACAAGATGCGCTTCATGTGGCGGATAGTGGAGGACCCAGCTATGCGCTCGGCCAGACGACGACGTCAAGAGGGACTTCAGCCTTTTGACCAGACTCAAGTGTCAGATAATGCTAATGAGACTCCTGAAACCCAGGGGAGTGGGGGGCATGCAAGTGATTGAATCACTTGTGTGCTTCTCGACGCAGGATGGTCTGCGAAGCTTTGGATCACAGGCAGGGGTTGCCAGTGTAGAAAAAGGAGCCTCTTTCGCACCGCTCATTCCGTGCCTTCCGTGCTCTCCTTCTACTGCCTCCGAGCCCGATCCTTGTTGAGTCTAACAGCTGCCGTGCACCCCATTGAGGCGTGCATGGTTTAGCCAATTGCATGATCGGCAGTAAAAATTCAAGGTGACCACTTAAAGGATCATGGGACTTAGTAACTAGGGTTATTATTAGGGTAACTATATACTTATAACTACTTATAACCCCAATTAGGGTACTCATAACCCATACTTACTAAGTCCCATGATCCTCCAAGCAAGAACAGGATGCAACGTCCAGACGACCAGGGCTCGGCGCAGGGGGCTTCGCGCAATCGTGCTTGCGCTCAATGACTACGTGGGTACTGTACTGTACTCTCGGCAAAGCTTTCATGCATGGGGTTTCTTACCTTGGGTTAGTAGGAAGTGGAGGAATGGGGTACAGTTATAACTACTATTACTACCCATTCTTCCATTCCCTACTAACCAAAGGTAGGGTTTAGGATCAAGGTTCACGAGTCGGACAGCCAGGACTCCAAGAAGTTGACTCGCTGAGAGCTGCAAATGCTGGGGGCTCCTTGTAAGCATCCGGAGTAGAGGGTACCTGAACCCGTTCAAATTTCGGGGTGGTGGTTTAAAAGCCAGACCCTAACCCCACTTTAAAGCCAAAAGTTTAGGGTTCAGGGCCTAACTTAAGCCCTGAAACCTTACAATAAACCGTAGAACCACGACCTTGAGGCTGCACAACACCGTGAACCGAGGCAAAATCAAGTGACGGCCGCCGAGACACACCGACAGGTCCGAACCCTCAAACATCCCCAAACGAGCACACCAAGCACACGACCCTGTGTTCTAATCCCCGCGCGTTCGTTCTTCGAAGCTAAACCTTGAACACGAACTAGTACGCTGAGAATCGAAACTTTAAAGCCGAACCACCATCCTCCCTATACCCTGGTCCTAGTTGCTGTTCTCATGGCCTGTTTCTTATAGGGCTTAGAACTGCAGGGGTTCAGCAAGGATCAGTGCACATGGGAGTTTCCGAAAATCGGGGACCGTAATATAGTACCCCAAATAGCAGGATCCTTATTATGAGGACCCCAAAATAAGGAAACTTAATTTGCGGAAACTCCCACATCTACTCAGCTTCTGGGTACCTATTGCACCCGGGAGGAGATGAGGGGAACCAAAAGGCCTCTTTGGGACAAAGCCTGTATGATCGGTTTTTATTCAGGACTACAGCGGGCTACTCTTGCAATATTTACTAAGACAACACTGAAAACAACATTTTCTATGACTCGCATAGCTACTTCAAGGCCGTGAAACATGTTAGTATCATATGCCTTCGAAGCCGCGCCTAACCCTAAACCAAGGTTTGTCTTGGGTTCCCTCGTCGGTCACGCGTGGGCCTGGTTGAAAGAGCCAGCCGTGGTGTCGAAAAAGGCACTCTGCAAACGATCCTGAACGGTTTCGCTCAGGGTTTTGCACTTGGCGCATTGGGTTTGGGGGTTTAGGGCTCAGGGCGAGGGTTTGGAGTTTCGGGTCAGAACAAAAAGGACACAAGATGAACAACACCTCCTTTGCCTTGAAGGGCTGTAGTATTGATTGAGTGTCATTTTCTTTAGTAGTTACCTTGCTTTTGAAAAATGATATTGGCTCCTGACCATAGAAACTGCTTCCTCAATCCTAAAACCGAACACTTCGTAGGTTTAGGGGTTCCCGATAGTAGATCAGAGTTTGTGTTTCTATGGGGTCCCTCATGTGAATTCAGGTGTACTATCCTCCTGAGTTGAAGGTTTTTGAAATCTCTGGCTAGCACTGTAGGAGGGGTGGCCCGCTTCCCGTGAGACGAAGACGAGGTTGCTTTTAAAACCTCCCGATCTAAACTTAAATCCTGAACTGCGGGGCCTAGGACCCAACCCAAGCCTTGAAACGAGACTGAAAGATAGATTCGGGAATGGGGAGGAAGGTTCTTTGCAGAGGAGTCCGATACCATGCCGTGTAAGACCCTCATATTTAAGGTAAAAGCCAGAAAGTTGGAATATGATTATCCTAACCCTTCTATGGTAAATTATAGGGGATCCTACCATTAATCCATATTCCAACTTTCTGGAGTTCCCTTTAACTGCCTGAAAACGCCATGGCCCAAGTCTAAACCTTGCACCTTGGACACCGCCGTCAAGCTTCACGCTCGAAGGCCCAGTGAGTCTTCTCCCTGTAAACAAAACCCTGAACAACACCTGAGAACCCTAAACCGAAACCCGAAAGTCCTGACATTTAAACCACTAAGCACTAGAACCCCAAACCCTAAACTTTAGCCCTAAACCTCCAAAACCCTAACTCCTGAACCTACAGGCCTTGGTCGTCTCTGCTTTCAAAGAGTTGCCGCAAGGTTCGTAAAGGACAATCACCTTAGCACCATGAGAGGCTAGGATTCCGTGTTTAGGGTGGTGGGTTCTGCTTTTTCTTTATTCTGAGGTTTTGCTGTAAGCTTTTGCGTTTGCAGGAGGGGGGTAAGATTTGGAGTTTGCTGGGGCTTCGGGCTCAGCCACGCTTGTATGAGTTTGGGCTTGGGGTTGGTTGCCGGGGTGCAAGAACTTCAAGCAGTGCTGACTAGTGACGAGTCTCATCTCTACCTCGACACCACTTGCAGTTGTTTTGTTTGCTGGAATTGTAAACTGCTTTAGAGGTGAACATCGGCAATCAATCCGCAAAGCAAGCTGCAACTTCTGATTCTTGACTCCAAGCCATAAATAGAACAAGATATGGGTGGTTGTCAAAATTATGGTCCCTTTTTGGGTCCCTAATAAAATACAGCACCTATGATTGAGGGTACCCTAATTTGACAACCACCCATGTGGCTCAAACCTTGAGGTCTGTAGCTCAGGATAAGTTACCGCTTGGGGCGGCTTTACTTAATCAAGCCCACTCGACCCGAATTTCTAGATCCCAAACTCCAAGCAACAGGCCACTGAACTGGCTCAACCATCCTCAAGCCTAGATCCAACTCCCATAAGTTTGCACTCACCAAAAGCCCAACAGCCCCGGCTCCCGCCCCATTAAGGAAACGGATCAGAACCATCCCTGCAGAATGCTATCTGGAACAGGAGCCTGCGTCAGGAAACCTCCCTGCGAGTTTCAGCACCCCAAATTTGGGTGGTTGTCAAAGTTCTGGTCCCGTTGCCAATATAAAACAGCACCTCATATTATAGTTATTAGGGTACCCAAAAAGGACCGCAACTTTGACAACCACCCAAATGTCGGAGAGCTGGCTCTCAACTTTTCGAGCGGCCGCCGTGTTCTGGGCCGCCGCATTGCCTAGCCGCCTGTAAGCACGCGACCAGAATGACAGTCTTCCTTTGTTGAGTGTCCTTTTCCTTCTTGCGACAGTACCCTAAACTGAGATCACGGGCCGAAAGGAAAAGGAATCGCCCTTAATGGGGACCCCTACCCTATAATGGGCTATATAATGGGTATATAATAGCTATATTAAGGGTGTGTACATAGGGGTCCTTGTTAAGGGTCCCTCCTCTTACCCTGGAATGAACCTCTTCAGCTCCTTTGGTTCGGTAAGAGACCTGAAGCCCTAGCTTCAAAATCTGCAGGGCGGGGTTTTAAAGTGTACGTGCAGCTGCCATAACCTTCCTTCATGTAGGTTCTTATCATACACCTGAACATAAAGTCTATACCAAACCAAAAGTAGCCACACCGGAAGGACAAGGCACACACCTCAACTCCAGTATCACATTCTATGGGGGCCTGAATAATTACCTATACTATTTTGGAGGTTACTTATTATGATTATAGTACAATGGGCCCCAAAACCCTAGTCTAATCATTAAGGCCCCTAGATTTCATGCTTTACCTTAGTGAACCTTCTCTTTAAGGCACCGAACACTGCGACAACGCAGGAATCGTGCCTGAAGTTCCCTCCCTACAGTGCTCACTTTAAGGGCTTCTAAATCCTGAAACCGATAAACCCAGAAACTCTGGAATCCTAGACCCTGAAACACCACACCTTCAACCCAGGCAGAATCAGAAGCTAAACTCCCAAACCGAAACCTCTAAACCCTAAAACCTTAAACCCCAAACCCCAAAATTTGCCGAAGAAAACCCAAAGCCCTAAAGCCTCAAACCCAGAAAAATGGGGACTGTCGGGCTGAGTTGTTCGGGCTAAGGCCCACCTTCCGTTGAGCCGACGGCTGCCAGCCAAAGTGCCCGCATCGCGCTGGTACCTGGCTAGGCTTCTCGCTCTTGCCTTACAAGGTTTAGGAGTTTAGGGTTTAGGGGTTTAGGTTTTGGATTAGGATTTTGAGAGTTTTGGGGTTTGAGGTCTAGGTTTTGAGTTTGGAATTAGGGGTTTTGAGTTTGAGGTTAAGGCAACAGCCCCCACAACAATCCAGGGTACTGCAGGGGTCTGGTCTGGATACTCAGACATGCTATTCCGCCGGGTAGCTCTGGTTATTGTAGTATCGTATACTGGGATACTCTTACCCGGTACGACTCAATCCTGTCCCCGATAGTGCGCGAGACCACGCATATGTCCCCCCAACCACGGTCAACCGAAGCATCCATCAGTAGGGTTTAGGGTTTAGCGGTATCTGCTTAATCAAGCTCGCGAGGAAGATTGTTTGGGGTGCAGGATAGCTCAGAATTGAGAAAAGCCAGCTCAGTAGTATTTTGAATTATCCAGCTAACATATTATTGCAAACAGGTCACGCCATGTTCGAGGCCACGAACACGCCGCGCTTATCCGATTGCTCAGGGTTCTGCCCCAACGAGAGGGCCTGATCCATCATGCCAGCCTCGCAGGTGTTGCATCCTAAACCCTCAACCCTAGGCTCCCAGGTTCAGGGCTCTAATCTTTTTGCCGGAGGGGGGGGGGGTTAGGGTGAATTCAGGTGTCTCGACCGGTCCAGTCCACA